ACGTGAAATTCATTTGATCTGACCAAGGCTAATTTTTTATATAATGTGCTTACGTGGTTGGTTTTGCACAAGATAAAATCACTGTTTAAAATAATTAAGTGTGTGCACTAATTATTGCCATTTTGACATAATCGCAAAAATGTAAAAATAATTATTGAAGAAGAATTAGAATAAGAATATAGATATTTTATTTGTTTGAAATACAAAAATTAACAAATTCTAACAAAATTTCACAATAAACATTTTAAAAACATACTCAGGAGAACATTTTTACTAGCACTTTAATATAATTTACATTAAAGGGGGACATATAACCATCAAATGATTAATATTTATCTTTTTATTTCGCATGAATTATCTCCCTTGATAGTGGATAAGATGCAACTACAAAAAGATCAGTGTTGGTTTTGAGTTGTATTTTCTATCACTGTTTATATTTATCTCTAGTAGAGCAATAATGGTAGAATTTGTATCTTTGATTTCAAATTCCTAAGATACTTAGAATATATTGATGGGCTAATATTGATTTATCAGTAATATTTCTATTTTCATTTATCAGTAAACTTAATTTCTTTCACACATTTAAAGTTTCCTTTATTTTTGTACTCTTATAAAATATGGGAGGTAACTCCAGCTTTTGAAATAGATTCCTGTTACTGTAATTAAGATCCTTTACTTTCCATAATTGCAAAGAAAAAAATTGATAATGAATATCACTTCAAAACCTGAGTTATCTCCCTTTTTTGCTGTGTATTAAACTTTTCCTCAAACTTATAAGTCAAGTGCAATTTTGAGCTTTGAACCACACATAAGATTAACAATAGGACATATGAATAAAAATAAGTAAGTGTGCTGAAAAGAATTTTATTGGGCCAAATGTTGTCAATAAATGTTAAATTGAATGTTTATCAAACATGTCAAAGTATACATATTGGAAGTGCAGTATATTTTTAAAACTGCTTTGCTATCAGAAATATGAAAAATGTTTGATTTAATATGATTATACAAAAGCGGTAAATGCTAACTACTCCCTCATCTAAAAAAAAGAAAGAAAAAAGAAAATATCTTCTTTCAGGGATTGTATGTGTATCAACTGGATTGCAATTTATGTGTTGGTACACTTCAAAATATTTTATAAACCTTTTTATAATGATCAAGATTTCTCAATTTTTCCTTTTGAGTTAATGAGTAGTCAGGGTTTGTCAATCAATGGGGAAAAAATTTTAAACTAAATATTAATTTTATAATTTCAGTAGTAACTAGGTAGGGATTTATTTAAATTTTATGTTGTGTTTTTTTTTTTACATTCAATGAGTCTATGGGAGTAACATTATGACTTAACAGTGCTTAATGAAAAATGACAAAAAAATCTTTAGGGTAGGCTATTATTAAGACTAAAAAGTAGGGTAGTTAGGGTAACTACATATATCATCTGCCCCCCCCCCCCCCCCCCCTTTTGTGGGAAAAATTTTGGTTGATTATATAGGGAATCACTGAAGCATGACTGGAGCCCCCCCCCCCCATGTTTAAGGTCAGTAAGTGCTCCCACCCTATGAAAAGTTCTAAATCCGCCAATGTATATTTTTATTTGGCTTATTAATAAGTATGTTTTAAGGAGAAAATTAAGGATTGTCTGAAATAATTTGTTAATTTATAGCGAATGGTTGGTTAAATTTACAACTTCGATAGATCTGATATTATTTATTAAAAAAAAAACTACAGTCTTGAAACATGAAAAACCAGGAATTTTACACCTAAAAATGCTGTATAATTTTCAAATATTTTTAATTATCTTTTAAAATTTATAGATAATAAACATATTTTAAGTCCTATATAGTGTCCCAGGCAAATGCATTAATGTGCTATGTATGTTATCGAAAATTATTGATTGACATTAAATTATTACCAGAAGCATTAAACTAATTTAAATAATGTCTCTAATATTATTTAGCTGTAATAAATGTGAGGGTATGATTGCCAATTAGACAGGCTGTTAATTGGATTAAACATATCGATATATTCTTCAACTAAATGAAATAACTTCATTGAAATTCTATCTAACAATATAGTTTATATTATATTAAAATATATCAAACAGTTTTAAGGGTTAAACTTTATGCTCTACTAAAGGGGTGCTCCTATGTAAATGATGCTTGTAAACAAACGAATTTGTTATTTGTTCATTTATATGTCTTACCAGAGACATATAATACAATATATATGTCTCTGGTCTTACTTAGTCAGGACTTTAAGCAGTAAATATCATTTTAAAAATGAATTGAGTCAGTAAAGTCGGGATGCTGATTATGCTAAGAAACACTGGATATTGGTCTATAATAGACTATTGAATGGGGAAACCAGCATGTACTATTTGCACATGGTCATGGATAACTATTCTTCGTGACGATATCCGGGACCGGAGGTCGGTTTTTAAAACGCTTGAATGATTCAGATGAATGATGCAAATTGAAGACGCCGGTAGCCAATTGCAACTGACAACAACTTGAACAAGTACTTGTTTCTGTTTATTTAACGAGACAAACACAATCAAGGAGTTATGAACGCATAGAAACTCGAGGAAATAAAACAGGTAACTCAAATAAATGATTTAATAGTGCAGAAATAAACAGAAATAGTGAGAATGTTTTTCAACTTTTCGTCTTTTGTCCTGATCAGTTCACAGTTGTAAAACTCCGTTTAAAATAAACACCTATTAGACACACACACATGTATACTCAAAAGTTGATACAAAACAAGAAAACTCGAAGAAAAAATTCCATCTTCGTCATCCAACTCATGGTTTGAAAAAATAATGTATGATTCTATGAATTGACCTCAGCTCCGGGCTCCTGTAGCCCTAGCTCCGGTTGATTATTTCTTTGTTCAGAGTCATTTAACCATATTGTAATCAGGTTACTAGGGCAAATAGAGGTATAAAAAAGAGAAATAGCTGTAGAGAAGGAGTTACGATTTTGTGTACCAGAGAAATGTACTTCAGAGATTTAAGATTATGCCACTGTATTGTGGAGCCTGCAGTTTTAATAGATGTTGTAAACTTATATTACTGTTACTTTGGATTTTGAATAATTCAGTAATGAGAATTGAACTTTTAATCAACTTTGTGTTTATGTTCACTGGCAAGACTTCGTTCAGACTACACCAGGATTCCATCAATCACGCTACCAGTTCTTTTCTAGGGTAATCCTGTAACACTGTAATCAGTGACACTGTGTACGAGTGAAAGGCACGACCTGAAACTAATACACTCAACAACACAGCACAAACACAAGGATACACACTTTAGTTGAAGTTGTATAACCAACTTTTCGTCACAGGTTATACTTTGAGAATTTACATGCAACTTTAAAAAAACAATTATTTCTGAAAATTGAAAAACATACATGCATGATTGAAATAGATAAAACCATGATAACAAATATTAAAATGTTTATTATCTGTTAAGAAAGAAAAGTTCATTATTTAAAGCCTTTATTTTAGCATTTTTTCAACAAAAATCAAATTGATAGCTGAATTATTGCATCAAAGGCAATAAAATGCTCCGCTGGGGCGCAGCTTGATACGACCGCAGAGGTCAAACCCTGAACAGTTGGGGCAAGTATGGACACAACATTCAAGCTTGATACAGCACTGAATTTGGATTGTAATTAAATATTTGACACAGCATAGGTTTCTGACACAGAATGAAAGTGGTCTAAGAACTTATAATTTTTTAATTTACCTATTCATACATGTGATGGACTGTGAAACTCAGATCAGGAGATTGGGAAATTTTGGTAAGGAGATTAGGACTCAGATCAGGAGGTTTTTAATCGACATAAATTTTGTCGTAAATGTAACCGTGTGCTGTAAAAATGGTCTTTTAAAGTGTGTTTTCTTCAACTTTCCATCCAATTTATTATGTTTATAGTACCCTTGTACTTATAAAGTTTCTCCATCCTTATATTTTACATGTTCAATCTCACATTTTTTTTTTTCAGTATGTTCTTTAAATTTTTTACTTCATATTCTATAAAACATTTATTGCAACCAGAACATTTGTTTAACTATCTGCAAATAGCTTTTGTTTGCATACTCAGAAAATCATTCTAACTGTAAATCAAGGGTCATAGTTATTATATAAATTTCAATTTAAGCCTTGAAAGGAAGTATAGAATCCTCAAATAATTTTCAAATTATTATTTTTTTATTTGTCCTAAGACATTTAAAATCATTTATTTACCATCCTTTTATGATTATTTGTTCAATTTATATTTTATTTATATTCTTTTAAAAATTTTCATTATTAAAAGGAAAGTAACTTAAAACAGGATAAATCAAGGGAAGTAACCCAATAAATACACAGTTTTTGTTACACAACGGCAGTTAGCCTGAGGTAAAAAATCATTGATTACCAGTATGTTTGACACCCAAGCTGACAAGTGAAGCCATATAATTATGCATGTTAATTGATTTACAGGTAAAATATAACTTCAGGTAATGTGAGTTACACCAGATGCCTGAGATGATATGTTGGGCAGAAATTTTTCATTCATGAAAAATTTCATACACGGGATTATAATTTTCCTGGTCAACCGGAGGTTGGGAGGAGACTCCTGAAAACAGGATTATTGTACTCCTGTCGGGAGGTTCACATGTATGCTATTCAAACCATATCATTATTATTTGCTATTATATATAAATCAGAAATAACCAATTTAAAATGGAAAATTTTAAAGAAAAAAAAAGGAAAAAAAAATCTTCCCCCCCAAATTTTTTGAACCCCCTTATGATTCATCGCCCCCACACTCAATCCCAGCTTTCCCTTTGTGGTATGGTACCTTGCAGTACAATTTTAGAGAGATCCATTCACTTGAACACAAGTTATTGTCTGGAAACTAGAAAAATGCTTGTTTTTTTGTCCCTTTTTGGCCCCTAATTCCTAAACGTTTAGGGCAATTACCCCCAAACTCCAACCCAGCTTTCCCTTTGTGATATGGAACCTTGCAGTAAAATTTCATAAAGATCCATACACTTACAAACAAGTTATTGTCCTGAAACTAGAAAAATGCTTGTTTTTTGCCCCTTTTTGGCCCCTAATTCCCAAAATTTGGAGGAAATTACCCCCAAAAATCAATCCCAGTATTCCCTTTGTGATATGGAACCTTGTGATACAATGTCAGAGAGATCCATACACTTACACACAAGTTATTGTCATGAAACTAGAAAAATGCTTGTTTTTTGCCCCTTTTTGGCCCCTAATTCCTAAAATTTGGAGGCAATTACCCCCAAAATCAATCCCAGCATTCCCTTTGTGATATGGAACCTTGTGGTACAATGTCAGAGAGATCCATATACTTACACACAAGTTATGTCTGGAAGTTACAACAATGCTTATTTTTGGCCCCTTTTTGGCCCCTAATTCCTTAACTGTTAGTACCATAACCCCCAAAATCAATCCCCACCTTCCTTTTGTCGTATTGATCCTTATGGTAAAATTTCATTGAGATCCATTCACTTAAACTAAAGTTAGAGTGCGAAAACTAATGTGTATTCGGACGACGACGCCGGACGACGACGACGACGACGCCAACGTCATACCAATATACGACCACAAAAATTTTTTTGCGGTCGTATAAAAAGCATGCTATTTAAATAAAGCAAAAGGTTCATTTATTTCAATTTTACTAATAATTAGATATAAACTAAAACTGTATGTTTAAAATGTTGGTAAAACTACAAATTGACAAAATTTCTTATTTGCAACATTTTTATACGACCGCAAACAATTTTTGCAGTCGTATATTGGTATGACGTTGGCGTTGTTGTCGTCCGAAGACACGTTGGTTTTCGCACAATAACTTTAGTTTAAGTGAATGGATCTCTATGAAATTTTACCATAACGTTCAATACCACAAAAGGAAGGTTGGGATTGATTTTGGGGGTTATGGTACCAAAAGTTAAGGAATTAGGGGCCAAAAATAAGCATTTTTTTTACATTGTACCACAAGGTTCCATATCACAGAGGGAATGCTGGGATTGAATTTGGAAGTAATTGCCTCAAAATTTTAGGAATTAGGGGCCAAAAAAGGGGCAAAAACAAGCATTTTTCTAATTTCATGACAATAACTTGTGTGTAAGTGTATGGATCTTTCTGAAATTGTATTACAAGGTTCCATATCACTATGGGAAAGCTGGAATTGAGTTTGGGGGTAATTGCCCTAAACGTTTAGGAATGAGGGCCAAAAATAAGCATTTTCTAGTTTCCAGATAATAACTTGTGTTCAAGTGTATGGATCACTCTGAAATTGTACTGCAAGGTACCATACCAGAAAGGGAAGGCTGGGATTGAGTTTGGGGGTGATAATTCATAAGGGGGTTCAAAAAATTTGGGGGGGGATTTTTTTTCGGTCCAAAATTAAACTTAGTTTGATTTTAACAAAAATTGAATTCTTGGGGTTCATTGATATGCTGAATCCAAACATGTATTTAGAGTTTTGATTTTGGGCCCAGTTTTCAAGTTGGTCCAAATTGGGGTCCAAAATTAAACTTAGTTTGATTTAAAAAAAAAATTGAATGTATGGGGGTTCTTTGATATGCTGAATCTAACCATGTATTTAGATTTTTGATTTTTGGGCCCCGTTATCAAATTGGTCCACATTGAGGTCAAAAGGGTCCAAAATTAAACTTTGATTGATTTCATCAAAAACTGAATTCTTTGGATTCTTTGATATGCTGAATCTAACCATGTATTTAGATTTTTGATATTGGACCATAATAAAGGTCCAAAGGGTAAAAAATTTAACTTTAATTTTTCTTTGTTGTTCTTAATCATGTTAATAGCAACTTCAATCCTTTGCTTTTTGATGTTTGATAATACGTGTTTAATATTAGTAAACAATAAATATATAAGCTAATTGTTTGCAAAACTCTTTGAATACTTTTTATAGTCTTGCATCTACATGCTGTTAACAAAGTACTGTTTTCTCCCTTTCAGCAGTACATTGTATTACAACAAATGGTCAGAGGAGTTGACTGATAATGGACTGGAGTAACCTAGGGTCCAATGACTCTGAAAATGCATGACAGTACTGGCATGTGTACATGTATGTCGACAGCCAATTCTAAGTAACCTTAAACGTATACATTGTATATATACAAAAGACCTGCAATAATGGTATGTGGATCTATGGGTGACTTATATTTCACTGTTGTCACACAGTGTTGTGTGGCTTTATTACTGGTCAGACTATCTATCCTTTACTATTATAAAGTTCAAATATCATGTACATGATTATGACTTGCATTGTATAAATTATGATGCAGCATGATATCTTTTTGACCTACATTTTATGTCTCACTGATTTATTAAGTACATTGAATATGTACATGTATGTGGGTATATCATGTACATGTGCAGTACTTTTGGGTCTTGCACAAATACATTGCCATTGGAGTTAAAATAAATTTGATCGCTGACAATGACAGAGTGTTTTGAACATTGCCTCATAGTGTTGATCAGAATACCTTTATATTAAATCAATAAAATTTTATTGTCACAGATAGAAAATATTTAGTATTTTAAAAATAAGGAGATGGGTAGGATTGCCAATGAGAAAACTTTCTGCCAGTCGACATGAAGGGGATGTAAGAAATTTTAGGTCACTGTATGACCTACAACAATGAACAAAACCATACTGTAGTGTCAGCTGTACAAGATCCTGAAAAAATGAATAACAATAAATGTCAATTCAAATCAGAAAACTAGTGACATTCTAATTACCAGTATTGGTAATATAAAATTTTAAAAAACTGACACTTATTTTCTCTCTCGTTAAATATTTTTTTTGAAATATTCACCAACATGACCAAGAGAGAACTGTATTGCCAATTTATTTTTTATCGGAAAGCAGTGCATCAATTTCAGGTGTTTTACGTGATAATCACAGGAATTTAAATTTTCAGAATTAACTCCTCAGATGTCAGTGGAATGGAAGTAATACACATCATATGTTTCAATGAAATTAATATGATTAATGATGGGATAAGACGTAGAGGAGATCCTATATCTACAATACATGTATATGTAACTGGTATGTATATTTGTTACAGTATTAATAGTCCAAATGGTATAACAATAACAAAAATACTGAAGGCAATTTCAAAAAAGGGAAGTTCATGCATAAGGTAGTGGCTGCTGGGTTTTACTATTTGTATTATTAAGCTTTACAATGTATATTTCATAGGGTAGTTGACTTGGATGTTTCATAAATTGTATACAGATGCCTTTTTTTACAATGTTTCTGTCCATCATATGTTGGTTGGCCATGTTGGATCACATTTTAATGGTTCAGCGACTGCTTGAAAAATAGTTTAGGCTTTTTTGCTTTGTGAATTTCTTTTTTTTTACATTATGAGTAAATTAGGATATCTGTATTTGGAATATTGGTTCCTTGCAATGTTTATATGTACACGTACATGTCTGTGAGACAGGATCACCTGACCTTACTTCATGGAGCTGTCAAGGTAAAAGTTACGTGATTAACACATGTCGGTCCTTTTCTCAGATATAGTAAGCAGAACTTGAGTAGATCAACTGTATTTGGTGTTTAGAATGAACAATGACCTCATTTCCATGGTTCATTGGTCAATGTTAACTTTTATTTCTTGTAGGCAATATGTCAAGTATATATGATGTATGGAATGATTGTAAGTTGTACATGTCCATGATGTCTGTCTGGACAGAGTTCATCTGACCATGCATGATCTGATTTGGATGGTTCATTGGTCAATATTAAGATTTAATAATTTAGTCTGTTTAGTGTATACTATACATGCTACATGTATAATCAATTAAAAGATCAGCTTTTTATACATCCGTCAAAGTTTTGATGGGATGTACATTTTTTGTATTATGGTATACAAATGTCGTCTGTCTGTCCGGCGTAAACATGTCGCACCGTAACTTGAGAACGACTTATCCAAATTTCATGAAAAATAAGATAGTTGTTTCTTATGATGGTCAAACAATCTGTATACTTTTTGGTGAAAATAAGATTAAAACTTTTTGAGTTACGGGACTTAGTAACTAAAACAGGTGTGTGGTTTTTCGTCACATGTCGCGCCGTATCTCAAAAACAATTGATGATTATTGCTTAAAACTTTACACACTTCTTAGTTATACTAATCTTAAGATCTGTATACTTTTTGGTTTTGATTCAAAATTTTATTTTAGAGATATTGATTTTTTTTTAAAAAGGGGGGTTTCACATGTCGCTCCGTACCTCAAAAACGATTTATGATTATTGCTTGAAATTTTACACACTTCTTAGTTATATTAATCTAAAGATCTGTATACCTTTTGGTTTTGATTCAAAATTTTATTTTAGAGATATTGAGTTTTTTGTAAAAAAAAAGGGGGGGGGCCTTTTCTCATCACTTGGCGTCGTCGTCTGTTAACTTTTTCAAAAATCTTCTCCTCTGGAACTACTTGGCCAAATTTAACCAAACTTTGCCACAATCATCATTAGGGTATCTAGTGTAAAAAGTGTGTCTGATGACCCCGCCTACCAGACATTGCTTAAAATGGAACATAGTGGTAAAATGCTGTTTTTGGATTATATCTCTGAAAGTAAAGCATTTAGACACAATTTGACATTGGGTAAAATATGTTCATCAGATTATGATATATAATATATCTGTCTGTTGTTGGGTTGCTGCCTTTGAATTAGTAATTTTAAGGAAATTTTGTAGTTTTTATACGACCGCAAAAATTGAAAAATTTTTGGTCGTATATTGGTATGACCTTGGCGTCAGCGTCGTCGTCGTCGTCGTCTGGCGTCGTCCGCCGTCGTCCGAAGACACATTGGTTTTCGCACTCTAACTTTAGTTTAAGTGAATGGATCTCCATGAAATTTTACCATAAGGTTCAATACCACGAAAGGAAGGTTGGGATTGATTTTGGGGGTTATGGTACCAACAGTTAAGGAATTAGGGGCCAAAAAGGGGCCAAAAATAAGCATTTTTGTAACTTCCAGACAATAACTTGTGTGTAAGTGTATGGATCTCTCTGACATTGTACCACAAGGTTCCATATCACAAAGGGAAGGCTGAAATTGATTTTGGGGGTAATTGCCTCAAAATTTTAGGAATTAGGGGCCAAAAAAGGGGCAAAAAACAAGCATTTTTCTAGTTTCATGACAATAACTTGTGTGTAAGTGTTTGGATATTTCTGAAATTGTACTACAAGGTTCCATATCACAAAGGGAAAGCTGGAATTGAGTTTGTGGGTAATTGCCCGAAACGTTTAGGAATAGGGGGCCAAAAAGGGGCCAAAAATAAGCATTTTTCTAGTTTCCAGACAATAACTTGTGTTCAAGTGTATGGATCTCTCTGAAATTGTACTGCAAGGTACCATACCACAAAGGGAAGGCTGGGATTGAGTTTGGGGGTGATGAATCATAAGGGGGTTCAAAAAATTTGGGGGGGGGGATTTTTTTTAATTTTTTTTCTTTTTTTCCTTTTTTTTTTTCTTATAAAGTTTTCCATTTTAAGTTGGTTATTTCTGATTAATATTTAAAAGCAAATAATAATGATATGGTAGGAGATACACACCAAACAGGATGTGTAAATTATTATATAATAA